CTCTCAGAGACATGAAGGCGCATTCTTTGGTCCTGGAAAGAACCGAACCTGGGCCAGCTCCCCTTGGTGCTCAGTTTAACAGGTTGCAATTGCCCATGTACGGAGTCCTTAGTGTCTTCTCTCTCTGCCCACCAGCGAACGTGACCCTGCGGCTCAAAGTAGAACTCTGGTCGTGTCCTGGGCCGCGCCACTTTACCGAGGCGGGCAGAACTTGCTAGTGCGTGGCGGTTCCACCCAGTTCCGAGTGGAACAAGTGTTCTTGGTGCTGCGCTGCCAGCATTTCTGTCCTACCCCTGGGCGCAAGGTCAGTCCAGCGCTCCCCTTTGGAGTTTTTTTCAAGCCCCTGCCTGTGATTGGTGGCCGACCCCCAGGGCTGGAACAGGGCTGTAGGCCCTGGGCCGGCCCTGTCTGACCCCGGGGCACCAAGGACAGGCAGGCGGGCTGAGCCTGAAACTGAACCCTCGGGACAGGCATTCAACACCCACCCCCCACCGCCTTTGGCACGATTCCTCTCACCTTTTCCTGAAGGCTCCATGGGACATAACCCGGTGTGCCCCCTGAAGGCGCCGCGCCGGGTGGAGCCTGTGCACCCTCTGATACTCCAGGAGCTTTGATTCCAGGAACCTCTGGCTTCCCAACGCCGGAAATGGAGTTTATTACTTTTTAAAGGATGGTAGGAAGGTTGGCGGGTGCCTGGAGTTCTGCGGCAAGCAGAAACGGGTGCACACAGGGTGTCCTGGACCCTGGGCCAGCACTGGCTCTGCGGCGGGCCTCGAGCCCTGGGGCCCAACTTGGTCAAAGTTTCAAGGGGGTGAATTGGAAGCCCGAACCAGCCCAGTCCCCCCTTTTTCCAGGCCTTGCACCACACCGCAGGAGGGGGCCGAGATTAGGGAGGTATGGGCAAGCGTCCTTAGGGCGCATACTGAACAGCTTTTCCTCGGCGGGTGAGCAGGGGTGAAGGACCAGGGCGCACACAGCGGCCAGGACACCCTGCGCCGGGTGGGCCTGAGTGCAGGTCCTGGAAGGTTGTTGGACATTTTGGTTAGGTTTCAGGTGATGTCCTGAGTCAGCGGCTCGAGTTGCCTTAGCCTTAAACCCGGCGCCTCCCCTGCGGCACCCGGAGTAGGGCTCCGGGGGTGGCGAGCGCTGTCTCTTTAAGGTCACTGCCTGCTCCGGCACGACTTAGGGAGGACAGCTGGGCACTGGCCATCTGACTGACTCCGGCTTGACATCTGGGAGCCCACTGGTGTGTGGCACGCGAAGCGCTTGATGCTGCTATTTAAATGCAAATGTGAGGGGCTCATTGAAGCCTCTCCCGGTAAATCCGCACAAAAGGAATACTTCCCACCCTCCAAGGAGGCGGCGGCGGCGGCGGCTCTAGGGCCACCCGTGCAAATCGCGTTGGGCGCGGGCCCGCAGCGATCGGCGGGGCAGTCGCGGCCCGCAGGGTCCACGGTAAAGGTCAGGCCCCGCCCGGCGGGGCCCCTGGGCGCCGGTCTGACCCTGGAGAGCGGTCTGAGTGAAAGGGGTAGATCGCTGGGCGCAGCGGGCCCGTGCGACTCTGAGTACCCGTCAGTTCCCCGGTTCCGGCGTCTCCCCTCTCCAGGGCTCCGGCCGCCCGGCTTTCCTCGGAAACAGTGAGAGGCGGGGCGGGGCTCGGAGGGAAGCACGCCCTACATCTCAGAAGACCCCAAGGAATGGACCCGCAGCCCCTCCCCCACCTCTGGCCTGGGCGCTCTACCCCTAGCTCCCCATCAGATCGAAAATCTGGGGGTGGCATGGGGTGGGGGCGGCCCTCTCAGGCTTCCCGGAGACAGGCTGGTATGGAGACCCTGCCCGGACGTGGAGTCCTTGCGCTCTCAGCTCTGAGCCAGCCGTGGAGTGACAAAAAAGATAAAGTTGGTCAATGATAAAGACCGTATTTTCCACGCTTTGGGTGCGGGACCAGATGATCTAGAAAATGAGGTGAAATGGATTCAGCCTCCAAGCCTGTTGTGAGACAGCTGATTCCCCCATTTCGGGCCAGATGGCTGCTGAACACAGATTTGCATTCATTTTCGCTTAATATCGTCCAAAATAGCGGGGCAGCTGCATTTGTTGTCAAAAAGGTTTAAAACCCCTTTTCTTTCTGGGGCAGGATCGTTACCTTATGTGATGAGCTTATGGAACTTTTCCCCCTCTTTAGTCAACAGTATCAGATTTAGAAGGATTTGTTTTTAAACCTTCTAATTTGGTAATCAGATTTAAATCGCCTTGGCGCGTGTAATCTGAATTAAAGATACTGTAAATGATTTTAAGCATGACACTTGCCTGGGTGCAAGGAAGGGGCACCTCCAGCCAGGCTGGGCATTTAGGAAGTGTGTTACAAAGAAGGCATTGTATCTTTTTTCCAACTTCATCTCTCCCTAAAAAGGCACTTAGCATATTCCGTCATTAAAGCTGGCCCTGCCACTGGCCCTGAGTGAGCCCTGGAGCTTCTGAACACACGTAGACAAAGCATCTCCCAACCCCACCCTCCACTCAGGGCCAACTTTATCCTGTGTTGCCTCACCACGAAGAAAGTGTCCCCTCCCGCACACGGTTGGGTCTGCTGTGAGTGGGTGAAGCGCTGGGCTTATTAGGAATACAGAAATTTTCTTTTAATTTATCATGAGTAGTTTCCATACACTTTGATTTAAGGTTATTAACATCCTATAGACAGTGGCATCTTTAATATGTGGCGATCGCTTCTAAAGACTAATCTCATTACTCTCAAATAGTCATAAAATATGATTTTATTATACTTACGTATTTAATTAGACGGCCGGCCCCGTAATGGATTTTGAGATGGGACTGGAGCAACAGCTCTGGTAATTCACTTAGCTTTTGCAATAGTCATTAACCCCCAACACCAGCAAAATAGATTGCTTTCCGACACATCTTTTGTCCCACCCCTTCCAAGTGGCATGTGGGGGTCCCCAGATAACGTAAATCGGACTTCGATTTTCCCGATTAATTAAAATATTAACGTACACATGCTACTAATTCACAAAAAAGGAAGGGCTACCCCAGGCCCGGCGGCAAGAAGCTCCCCGTGACACTAGCGCCTTGAAACCTTTCCTTTTTCTTCTTCCTCAAAAATTTTTTTTTTTTTTAATCAGTAGGGCCTGATTTCTCTTGTCAGGAGAGTGCCTGGGACATCTCCTGGCCGTCCCTTGGGTCTCTATTCCTTGCCGCTCAGACCTCCTTTGGGCGGGCCGGGCGCCTGGGCACCGAATCCCTGTCGCAGGAGCTGGGCCTTCGGGCCCATGCGCTGCAGGCGCCCAGCTGCCCTCCCGATTCCTGGTAACCAGGTCGGGAAGGCACAGGGCGCGCTCAGCCGGACCGGGGGGCGCAGAGGGCAGGGTCCCGGTGTCCGCTCTGCTGGCGCTGGGGAGATCTGACCACCGCACAAGGCGCGTACGGGGTTGGACACCAGGTCCAGGTCGCCGGAGAGGCGGAGCGCGCTTTCCGTCGGCCCAGAGAGGCCGGGGCCTCCTTTGTCACTGCGGCGCCCTAGGACAGGCCGGGGACCTGAGACTCCCGCAGCCACCGGGGGCAGAGGGCGCATCTGGCGGAACCTGCCTCCGACGTGGATCACCGGCCCGGCACTCGGCGGCCTCGGCCGGGGTAGGAAGCGTGGGGCACCCGGAGGGGCTCAGACTGGCTGACCGGCCCTGTAGCAGTCTTAGGTCTGCTCAGAAATCAGGCTGAGCTGAGCGTCTGGCCCTGGTAGCGGCGGCAGGAGGTGGGGACTGGGCACCCTCTTCCCCCCAGACTGTTGTCGGCCCCCTTCCCCGGAGTCCCCTCCCGCGCGCCCTCCCAGCCTCTTGCTGCTGTTCCCTCTGGGACGCCCCAGGGCCCGCGCTGCCTGCCCTTTATTGCGTGCGTTTGGGAGACTCGGGGCGCCCCTCCTCGGCCCCTGGTATTTGGACTGGGTGGCAGGTTTGGAGGGCAGGTACGAGCCGGCCCGCCGCGCCGCACTTGGACACCGGCCGCCTTGCTTTCTTTGCAGGAGCGGCCGGGGCCTGCGGGAGGAGAAACTTCCTCGGCGTCGGCCGGGCGCGGGGAGCCGCGGCGCGTGGCCGGGGGCGGCGGTGGCGCTCGGCGGCGGC